AGTACGGAGGGTGCTGGCCAGCGAAGTGAGAGACTACGGAGAGAGCAAGATCTTGGCGGAGCCAAGAAGATAGTCACGTCCGACGGACGAAGACCGAGGGCCCTCAGTAGCCGGAAATGAGCATGGCCAACACCCATTTATTTAATTTATCAAAGAAAACGTGAGAGATCAGAAATGGGAGGTGGGTGGGTGAAACACAATGATCCGACAGGAGTGATCCACACACAGAACGGATCAAAATAATATATAATAAACTAGGCAAACTTAAGCATGCCACATTGAGTGCCCACGACGCATGCCGCCAAAGTTGAGGGTCGCGCAAGAATGAATGAATGCCATAGTTGAGTGTCACGTTGCATGACACGTAGAATGCCATGACGCATAGAGTACCACGTGAGCATGCACCAAGACGTTGTCCGACATGGTTAGCAGCAAAGCATGAGCATGCAGTAAAAGCGCTAGCAATCATAGCAGCAAAGTTTGAGTGGTAGCACGAAGCAGCCGCTCGCACCCATTAATCTGCATTATTACTAAAATGCTACACAAACACACTCATACACACAGCACACGCACGCACACGCACACACACATAAAAACACACACACAGAACACACACACACAATTGCGCGCTCACACACATGCACACAGCACACAAACACGCACACCAAGCACACACACACACACACACACACACATTAGCTACAACATACGGCAATTTGCGGTCCGGAGGGTGCTGGCGAGCAAAGTGAGAGGCTACGGAGAGCAGGATCTTGGCGGAACCAAGAGGATAGTCACGTTGGCCGAGAGACGAAGATCGAGAGCCCTGAGCAGCCGGAAATGAGCATGGCCAACACACACACACAACACACACACACAGACACAGACACACACACACAGACACACAGACACACACAAACACAGAGCACACACACACACAGAGCACACACACACACACACACACACACACACACAGAGCACACACACAAACATACACAATTAACTACAACACACAGTAGCTTGTGGTACGGAGGGTGCTGGCCAGCGAAGTGAGAGGCTACGGAGAGAGCAGGATTTTATCGGAGGCAAAAAGATAATCACGTCTGAGGGACGAAGACCGAGAGCCCTAAGCAGCCGGAAATGAGCATGGCAAATACCCGTTTATTTACTTTATCAAAGTATATGAGAGATGAGAAATGGGAGTTTTGTGGGTGAAACACAATGATCGGACAAGAGTGATCCAAACACAGAACGGATCGAAATATATAACTAAGCAAACTTAAGCATGACACGTTGAGTGTCCACGACGCATGCCGCCCACGTTGAGCGTCGCGCATGAATGAATGTCACGTTGAGTGTCACGACGTCGTAGAATGACACGTAGAAAGCCACATTGTATAGAGTACCATGTGAGCATGCACCAAGACGTTTGGCCGATATGATCACCATGATGAACAGTGCACATGACCGTAGCCAGCAGCAAAGGATGAGCATGCAGTAAAAGCGCTAGCAATCATAGCAGCATAGTTTGAGTGGTAGCACAAAGCAGCCGCGTGCACCCATTAATCTGCATTATTACTATAATGCTACACAAACACACTCATACACATACACACAGCACACACACATGCACAGAGCACACACAAATAGCAAACAAACACAAACACGCACACACACACAGTAACTACAACATATAGCAGCATGCGGTGCGGACGGTGCTGGCCAGCGAAGTGAGAGACAACGGAGAGAGCAGAATCTTGGCGGAGCCAAGAGGATAGTCACGTCCGCGGGACGAAGACTGAGGGCCCTCAGTAGCCGGAAATGAGCATGGCCAACACCCGTTTATTTAATTTATCAAAGTACATGAGAGATCAGAAATGGGAGGTGGGTGGGTGAAACGCAATGATCTGACAAGAGTGATCCACACACAGAACGGATCGAAAATATATAATAAACTAGGCAAACTTAACCCTTTCAGTGCAAATGACGAGATATCTCGCTCTGTAAAGTGTGCCTGAACGGCGAATGACGAGATATCTCGCTCCACGGTCCACGCAATAGTACGAAGTGCATATGTCACTGTACAAACTGTCGTAACTCGTGTCAACGGCGGCCGATTTTCAAAAACGATATACTGTATAACCAGAAATATTCGTCTGGAATTTAATTTCGTCTTTTTCGTCCAAGGAGCTTTTGGACTAAATTAAATATAGGACGAATATCGATTTGTCCAGCGTTTCTATACACTCTTATGATCTATGGACGAAATTTTCAACCGGACGAACTCCTTTTCTTTGGAGTTGGACGAAAGTATTGACCGAAGAAATTTTCTGCCTCTACAGTACCGTTGGAAAGGTATTGAGTTCAACTTTCCAGTGATATAAAGTTCGTTGCGATTGGACTAGATTTGAGCGAGCGATGACGAATAGAATTGCAAAAAAAATCAAAAATACGCTTTCTGGCCATCAGTTCAGACTTTTTGCTCGCGACTCGCTTTTTTTTTTACAGGATTTCCCTTTGCTACAGCACATGCATGTGGAGAATCAAACAAAGCGCTTGGATCTCAGCTTTGCAGCGCAGTTTGAATCGTGAAGTTTGGTTTAGTTTGAGAGAGATGGCGAAAGAAAATTTATTATGAAGTTGTTTAGCGATTCTGAGACATGTAAGGGCTTCTTCTAGAGCACATAGAAGTGATGCTAACTTTAGCATGCCTATGGAGCTGAGAACTGCCAGAGAGTCTTCGCTTGGCTCAGGCCTTTCCAACAAGCTATAGGTCGTGGATATACATCAATAGATGCAAACATGGCGAAAGATTTGGCTCGGCGACTTGCATGCAGGGTCTGAAATGAGGGCAAGTGCGCTGAAAGCTTAGCCCGCAGGGGGAAACTAGGCCAGCAGTAAAAGGGTTAAGCATGCCACGTTGAGTGCCCACGACGCATGCCAACTACGTTGAGCGTCGCGCATGAATGAATGAATGAATGCCATGTTGAGTGTCACGTTGCATGACACGTAGAATGCCATGACGCATAGAGTACCATGTGAGCATGCACCAAGACGTTTGTCCGACAACTTTACCGTGACGTACAGTGCACGTGACTGTAGCCAGCAGCAAAGCATGAGCATGCAGTAAACGCGCTACCAATCATAGCAGCATAGTTTGACTGGCAGCAGGAAGCAGCCGCGTGCACCCATTAATCTGCATTATTACTATAATGCTGCCCACAGCACACACACGTGCAGACATTACTATAATGCTACACAAACACACGCACACACACGCACACACACACCACACACACCCATGTGTACACGACACACACAAACGCACACACACGCAGCACGTCAGGCGAAATAGCACGTCATAGTACATTCGAGATCAGCGGGAAGAAGATGACGACGTCCACTAATTTAGTATCTGTGCACACGAATCTGCTGTGTGTGTTACTCTGTGTGTCAGCTATGGCATCATCGCCTGTGGTTCCATGCCTAGCATGTACGTCTGAACCATCCTGCAAAGTTTGAATGACGTAGTTTGAGCGATCGCTCCGCGAAACATACTTTTTGAAATTCTCTTCATAGTATACCTTCCACCATTGAAATTTCGAATTTCTTCGATTTTTTGCTGAGAGGGGTGGCTTGCAACCTTGACATGGCTTGTTCCAGGCATGCTTTGGAGCCATCGCCTGTTGAAGTAGTGGCGGGGATCTGCCCTGCAACTGCTACAACAAAAAATGATTCGATCTGAGAAAGGGTGAGACCGCGAATCTCGGTTTAATATTGAGTATTTCAAGCCTTTTCACGACGAAGATGGACCTGAGTTCTTTTTGGAGATGGACGTCGCGGCAAAGGACATGGTATCCGACTTCTGGCGTCTGGTGAAGCCAGGGATCATTTGTCCAGTCAGGTCGGCAGCCTAACCGTCGGTAAGCTTGTGTTTGGATCCCGTTCTGCTCGATGTGGTAGATCACAAACAATTTGATATCGCACAAATTGATCTCAGCATCGTGCGTACGGTATTTTATATTCAGAAAATCCCAAAGTGACTCTGTGTGGCCGTCCTATGCCACGAGAAATTCCAATCAGGCTCCTATGTCCTCTGCCTTCATGAGTGAATGTCCACTTCGTTTGAACGACGAACACAACAATCGAGGACGGCTTTGCAATGAAAAATACAGCTATACTGGAACTGAAAGAAAGAAGAAAAAACATGCTCAGGATGAGACTCGAGTACACGCATACTCTCCCAGCACACAAACAATTTGATATCGCACAAATTGATCTCAGCATCGTGCGTACGGTATTTTATATTCAGAAAATCCCAAAGTGACTCTGTGTGGCCGTCCTATGCCACGAGAAATTCCAATCAGGCTCCTATGTCCTCTGCCTTCATGAGTGAATGTCCACTTCGTTTGAACGACGAACACAACAATCGAGGACGGCTTTGCAATGAAAAATACAGCTATACTGGAACTGAAAAAAAGAAGAAAAAACGTGCTCAGGATGAGACTCGAGTACACGCATACTCTCCCAGCAGGTGAAACGCAATTTTTTGTGAAAAATGTGTGTCGCCGACTGACCAGTAATTTCGCCTGACGACGCACACACACACACGCACACACACACAACATGCACACATCTACACACACACAGAACACACACTCGCGCATACACACATGCACGCAGGACACGCACACACAGCACACAAACACACACACAAACACACACACACACACACACACACACACACACATTATCTAGAACATACGGCAGTTTGCGGTACGGAGGGTGCTGGCGAGCAAAGTGAGAGGCTACCGAGACTAGGCAGGATCTTGGCGGAACCAAGAGGATAGTCACGTTGTTCGAGAGACGAAGATCGAGAGCCCTGAGCAGCCGGAAATGAGCATGGCCAACACACACACACACACACACACACACACACACACACACACACACACACACACACACACACACACACAAACATACACAGAGCACACACACACACACACACACACACACACACACACACAGAGCACACACACACACAGAGCACACACACACACACACACACACACACACACACAGAGCACACACACAAACATACACAATTAACTACAACACACAGTAGCTTGTGGTACGGAGGGTGCTGGCCAGCGAAGTGAGAGGCTACGGAGAGAGCAGGATTTTATCGGAGGCAAAAAGATAATCACGTCTGAGGGACGAAGACCGAGAGCCCTAAGCAGCCGGAAATGAGCATGGCAAATACCCGTTTATTTACTTTATCAAAGTATATGAGAGATGAGAAATGGGAGGTGGGTGGGTGAAACACAACGATCTGACAAGAGTGATCCACACACAGAACGGATCGAAACATATAACTACATGTAGGCAAACTTTAGTATGCCACATGGAGTGCCCGAGACGCATGCCGCCTACGTTGAGCGTCACGCATGAATGAATGCCACGTTGAGTATCACGTAGAATGACACGTAGAATGCCACGACGCGTAGAGTACCATGTGAGCATACACCAAGATGTTTGGCCGACATGGTTACCGTGATGAACAGTGCACATGACCGTAGCCAGCAGCAAAGGATGAGCATGCAGTAAAAGCGCTAGCAATCATAGCAGCATAGTTTGAGTGGTAGCACGAAGCAGCCGCGTGCACCCATTAATCTGCATTACCGTAAAGTCGCGGATTAAAGCCGGGTTTGCATACAAGCACATCGCGGATAGAAGCCTGAAAATCAAACGGGTCAAATGATAAACCTGTCGCGCGTAGAAGCCTGGCTTCTATGCAAGCGCGAATGGGGTAGGTCAAGAGTGCATGCGCTATGTACAGTGCATAGTAAAACTGCCGTCATACCGGTAGTCAGTGGTAGATCTACGCGTGTCGCGCGTAGAAGCCTGGCTTCTATGCAAGCCTGGATCGGCCGACGTGCATACAAGCCTGGCAAAAATATCAGTGGTGCATATAAGCATAGTTTGCATACAAGCCTGGTTTGCATTGCAGCCTGATGCAGAAAGCGGCTTATATGCTTATAAGCCCGGCTTTTATCCGCGACTTTACGGTATTACTATAATGCTACACAAACACACACATACACACAGCACACGCACATGCGAGCACACACACACACACACACACACATACACACACACAAACACACACACACAGCACACACACAGCACACACACATGCACAGAGCACACACAAACAGCACACAAACACACACGAACACGTACACACGAACACACACACACACACGAACACACACCCGCACACATTAACTACAACATACAGCAGCTTGCGGTACATAGGGTGCTTGCCAGCGAAGTGAGATACTACGGAGAGAGCAGGATCTTTGCCAAGAGGATAGTCACGTCCGAGGGCGAAGACCGAGGGCCCTCAGTAGCCGGAAATGAGCATGGCCAACACCCGTTTATTTAATTTATCAAAGTAAATGAGAGATCAGAAATGGGAGGTGGGTGGGTAAAACGCAGCAATCTGACAAGAGTGATCCACACACAGAACGGATCGAAATAATATAGAATAATACCGTAAAGTCCAAAGCAAACGCCCACTTCGCTGCAAACGCCCACCCCAGCTCGATTGTACTATTTTCGCAATGCAGGGCACAGGTACGTCGTCTTGAGGACAAGAATGGTGTACAGAAAGTTCGATTTCGTACGAGTAGACATGAAAAGCCTACGAACTGCCTATGGCAAAGACTAAAGCAAAAGAACTCTCGCTATAGTATAGCTCAAAATCAAATTCCCGCAGACAAAAATGCACTAACCTCGCCAAGAAAGGACCAACTGAATTCAATCCTTTCCGAGTCGTTCTTGAAAGCTATTGTTTTTTCGCCATGCCAAGACGCCACAAGTTCGACGTGGAGTTCAAAGCAGTGCTGTAGAATGACACCGCCTGCACGGCGAAAAAGCCATCTCACGTTGCAAGAAGGCAAAATCTCTTCCAGATTGCATAGCCGAAAGGGCATTACAATCGTTCTCGTTTTCGGGTGGCCGACGGAATTCTACAAAATTGTCCCTGGACATATAGGCTCTGTGCAGCTCCGACCGGCGGTAACTGCGAACTTCACAGACAAAGGCAAGGCAAAGGTTATTCATGGTGACTGAAGAGGAGCAAGAAAGTTATCCATGAACGTTTACAGATCGAAAGTCACTTGCTTTGACACCGCTCGAGTGGATTGCGACACTTTCAGTTGAGCCGTAGTCTACGTCCAACAGTGCAGTCTCTATCGAGCTATGAGCTTCCAACTCTAGCCTCTACTCGGCTCTAGCTTTGTGCCATAGTTTACCGTAGCAGTAGTCACTTTTCGCTACGGTGTGAAGTGAACTTTCAAGTCCGTCCCGTAACATACCCGTAGGGTCAGGCCAAAAGTTCATGTCTCAGCGCGTACAGGCCAGCAGATCTTGCAAAAAATGGGGTGGGCGTTTGCTTCGGACTTTACAGTATATCGTAAAGTCGCGGATAAAAGCCGGGCTTATAAGCACATAAGGCGCTTTCTGCATCGGGCTTTAATGCAAACCAGGCTTGTATGCAAACCATGCTTTTATGCACCACTGATATTTTGGCCAGGCGTGTATGCACATCTTCTGCGCGCGATACGCGTACCACTGACTACTGGTATGGCGGCAGTTTTACTATGCACTGTACATATCGCATGCACTCTTGACTTACCCGATCCGTGCTTGCATAGAACTTATTAGAAGCCAGGCTACTGCGCGCGACAGGCTTATATGCATTTGACCCGTTTGATTTTCAGGCTTCTATCCGCGATGTGCTTGTATGCAAACCCGGCTTTTATCCGCGACTTTACGGTAGGCAAACTTGAGCATGCCACGTTGAGTGCCCACGACGCATGCCGCCTACGTTGAGCGTGGCGCATGAATGCATGAATGTCACGTTGAGTGTCACGTTGCATGACACGTACAGTTGTGGCAAGTGAAATCCGACACTAGCCATAGGGGACAGCGCCACAAATGGACATCAATGATGTAATGCACTGCACCTAATTTGTACTATAGAGCCGTATGCATCCCAAACAGATCAAAAGGTCACAGCTTAGGTACACACAGTACACAAAAATGGTACACATAAGGGGTATGTAAACACAGCCCCATCCACTCCCCATTCATTTTGCCAGCACATTTTGAACTTTGACTGTGATGAGTACGAGTTTTGTCATCAGACAGATAAAGTTGTATGTAACACATGTACTGTACGTATTCAGGGCTGCAGGGGCTGCAGACTGCATGGTGCAGTCCCTTATGCCAAGTTTCGGATTTCTCTTGCCACAACTGTAGAATGCCATGACGCATAGAGTACCATGTGAGCATGCACCAAGACATTTGTCCGACATGGTTACCGTGATGTACAGTGCACGTGACTGTAGCCAGCAGCAAAGCATGAGCATGCAGTAAAAGCGCTAGCAATCATAGCAGCATAGTGGCAGCAGGAAGCAGCTGCATGCACCCATCAATCTGCATTATTACTATAATGCTACACACCCCCCCCCCCCCCACACACACACACGCAAACCCGCACCCACGCACACGTTAGACGTCCAAAAACACATTTCACCACGTTTCAAAGCTTTGCCTGCGCCAACAACGTTTCCTCCGCTTTACAAACTAACAATACGGGTGTCTCAAACACACGCTCCAAGCACACAGCCTATTTCCGAAAGCAGAACAAAAAAACCCTGGTGCCTGATTGAAACAACAGCAACGCTCTTGATAACCACGTGACAACATTGACAGTGTTATGCTGTACTGGGTCTCTTGTACTGCTAAGGGTGACTTGAGGAGTGACAACATTGAAAGTGTTATACTGTACTGGGTCTCTTGTACTGCTAAGGGTGACTTGAGGAGTGACAACAATGAAAGTGTTAAACTGCACTGGGTCTCTTTTACTGCTAAGGGTGACTTGAGGAGTGACAACATAGAAAGTGTTATACTGTACTGGGTCTCTTGTACTGCTAAGGGTGACTTGAGGAGTGACAACATTGAAAGTGTTAGCGGGATTCACAGAAGCTTTTTTGCGATGAGACACGCGATGCGACGCGATCTGCGACGGACGCGTGCGATGCGAACCCACGAAATACCATTCACAGAAGAAGTCAGTGATGCGACATCTTGCTGATTTGGCTACGTCACCATGATATTCGTGCGGTTTGATACAACTTGTACAAATTTATAGGCAACTCTTGAACCTTTGTACAACTTTGCTGTAGAAAAGGTCAAAATGGTACGCCAAATCGCTTGTCGCATCGCATCGCAAAAGTTGAGCCAAGCTCAACTTCTGCGATGGCCCAGTTCCGGCAGTTGCGTGGAGTGCGACATGGCTGCGATTTGGGGTTTTCCCGGTTTCGCACCTGTCGCATCGCGTGTCGCATCGCAAAAAAGCTTCTGTGAATCCCGCTTTATACTGTACTGGGTCTCTTGTACTGCTAAGGGCGACTTGAGGCGACCAGAATGATTAAGTGCGTACAAATATTTTCGTATCTCCACCTCTAAAACACAGAATAGTTACAAACGACCACTCTACGCGTTCAGGAAGACCTTGGCTATCTACTAATCACATCGTTTTGTGTCAAGGAATATAGATGTCGCCAGGGCGAAGCCTGAAGTGCGCCACACGGACAAACAATTGTCGCGAGTAGAAAACATGAAGTATGAGCATCGCTGTTATCTATTTTTTCACGGCAATCAAAACATCGAGATTCTCAGTGGCTTTCAGGTCAACTTTATCCGCGCTGAAAGTTGACTGTGCTGCGCTCGATCGAGCGCGTGGGAAAGCGCAAATGCTACGAAAATGCAGAGCACGAACTTCGATCAGACATCCTAGCGAAGAAGACAATTTTCGCTGCATCTTCGCTTTCTAGCTGTTTACCTGGCCTTGATATCTTTCCACAGAGCCATCGTTTGTAAAGATCCGTGGAGATCTAGCTGAGTTATGACACATTGATTCCCGCTCAATGGCACTTCGAGGGTTAAACACGAGTACATGACAAGCAACGAAAACAGGCAGCGAAACCAGCCAGCAGACTGACAACACATTGTTATGTGCTCAAGCTCACAAATTCTCCTCGTGCTTTTCCCCACTGCCACTGGTAAAGATTTGAAATCTGCAAAAATCGTCTATAAACATTTCAAGCAAGAGTACATAAACCAGAGTGTGCACCTCCGTAAAACCAATCTCACAACGAAGTGAAGCATGGAAAGCCTTTATGTTATAGGCCTTACGCACATTGTACAGATGCACGAAATCCCGTATAATCTTGTAGAATCCCGTAGACCCGGTTGGGTGTTGAATGTGCAGGACCCTATTGTGTTTACTGCTATTTCCACTATGAAATGGGCCATGAAGGCATTTCATACGAAATCTTTTTCCGGCAGAGATCTAGCTAGTCGTTAGTTCAATCCCAAAGTGAAGAAGGCTTGAAAAGTGATAGTTTGCCATGAATTGTGAGGCTAACTGGGTCAAACGCGCATGTATAGCACACAATGAACACCCAACCGGGTACGTACACACCTACGGCCATAGTACAGAACTTCGTACATCTGTACAATGTGCATAAGAACTATTGGGCCTAGTTCCCGTTTAAAGGGGCACTCCGGGAATATTTTCGGTGGTGTGTTCTCTTCATGGGTGCCTTGTATGGCCCCCAAGGAATGGGGAATCGCGAAAACTAGACCCAAAAAGTCGATATATGAAGCCAGGGAGGGCCAAGTTTGTCTCCTCTTTTGATGGTTTTGATGACGTCACGTGTGATTAGTATTCAAATTCTCTGCATTTGAAGATCTTAGTTGTTTGAATTTTCTGGTGATGAAGAACGATGTTTGGTCGACATTCCCAAGCTTCACAACTGCGGACCTACTCTAAGGAACCTGAAGGACCCTCTGAGGTGCCCCTGGTAGAAGCGCAGCCTGATGAGGGCCAGGAGATTGGAGCGGACGACTTCACTGGTCCGCGTACGAGGATCCCGAAATTCTCTATATGTCGTGAGGCATATGGTCAGAACAGTTTTTTTAGACAAGCTGACACGAAGTCGGGGTGATGTGTAACGCACGTCAAAGGGCTGTCAATGCTAACAGCTGCAGCGCTCTCTCGACAGCGAAGGTAATCGACTGCCCTCTGCATCACCCCACATTTCTGGCAGGAACACCAATCGTTATTTCCTTGTCGACCAGTGAAGTCGTCCGCTCCAATTTCCTGGCCGTCATCAGGCTGCGCTTCTACCAGTGGCACCTCAGGAGGTCCTTCAGGTTCCTTAGAGTATGGTCGCAGTTGTGAAGCTTGGGAATGTTGACCAAACATCGTTCTTCATCACCAGAAAATTCAAACAACTAAGATCTTCAAATGCAGAGAATTTGAATACTAATCACACGTGACGTCATCAAAACCATCAAAAGAGGAGACAAACTTGGCCCTCCCTAGCTTCGTATATCGACTTTTTGGGCCTAGTTTTCGCGATTCCCCATTCCTTGGGGGCCATATAAGGCCCCCATGAAGAGAACACACCACCGAAAATATTCCCGGAGTGCCCCTTTAACTGAATCACCGAGGCGATGAAGAGAAATTCGTGTGCGTGTTTCGTCTATTGTACAACAAGCAGCAATGCGCACCCGAAGAAAAAAACCTTGGTGATACGGGGAAATAGCCACGTGAACCTGCGTGAGATGCAGCAAAAGTTTGTCCTTATGAGCTAAACAACAGCACTTCGAGGCGAGACGATTTCCCCCTCAGCATCACGCCCTGGATTACAAGTGACTACAATGCGCTGATCTTGTGACAAGAAATAAGCAAGAAAGTCAACTGAGCATACTACATACAACTCTAATAGATAGTAAGTGATTACGAGTTTCATACAGGTACAATGTAGTGTTTGGCGCATGGAGTTTACATGTGTAAGCAATTTCCACTCCTAATGTCACAATTCAATACTCTACTGCAAGGAGCAATATGGAGAGGAGAATGAGTCCCTTTAACAATTTGCTAGACGATTCTCGCTGACCCCAGCCGACCAGGAACCCGCGCGCCTACAACCTCTGCCTGACACCCAGATACATGCCGACAGTTCTTGCAGACAGCGAGAACACATCAACACACGTCATATGGAATACAAGAATGACACCGGCATCATAGCTCACACAGCCATGGGGCCAAAAGAAAATATAGCGTGTTGAAACGAAGCACAAGTACGATATATATCATGAGAGGGAAACTAACCACAGCAGCAGAAACTCACCGGGAGGAAGACGGAGGCTACGTTGACCAAAGTCCGCAAAGAGATCCAAAAAAGGTCTGCGAGCAGAGTAGAGAGACTGACTTAGCTAGAGACTGAACAACTATCGCCAGCACTTGATACTTCGTGGAAAACAGCACTCACCACACACACGTTGGAGAAATGAAGACCAACAGAATCAAGACCAACAGATTCAGGACCAACGGATTGGGAAACTAACTACTTGCTCTAACAACCGGTACAGATAAGAGTGACGCTGTTGTTGTCAGTGGTCTCTTTTCTTCTCCTTGCGTAGCCCAGCTTTTGCATTGCGTCTTCCGGAAATCAAGGTTTGCAGGATTCCATCCGGAGAAACATGCCAAATTCCTGCACTTTTTTCAGATTAATATCGGTTTCGCCCGATGTTTGGACCGATTTCTTTGGTGTGTTTGAACCAATTTTGTGAAGTTCCTGAGTTTCGTTGTCACATGATAATGTAGTGCATATTTGCACGGCGCACCGTATATCATGGTATATCGGTAAGCCATATTGCGCAAGCAATAAGCACATACCGTACTGGCTTTCCGCATTCACAATGGACTCTTGAACTCGGTCGTACCACATGTGCACAGCGTAGATCTACGTCGGACCAACGCTTTCGGTACCCCAGTTTGTACATGCGTCAGCTCTTTTGCATATTTGGCATGCGCATTGCGCACTGGATCAGATCTTGGACTTGCCCAGCACACGTACTGTACTGAGCATGCAGGCCGGCCAGGGAGTACTAAAAATCGTTTTTTAGTACTCCCTAGCTAGCTGGACATGTCAAAAATAGACAGTAGAGGGGCAGAATAATTTACCGCAGTCAGGGGGTACCGTAGTAAAATACCGGACTCCATTAGCTCATCGGTGCAGGCCTTATTCGATAAACGTCACAATCACGTGAACCGGGGTCCCGGGAACCAGGGAGTGGCAAGAGATCTGCGCTCAGTGCACAGTGGACTCTGTGTGCGAACATAGGAGTAGATAAATACCGGTATTTTACTACTCTTTTGTACAAACTGGGCCTTTCTTGCCACTCGTTTCTCGTACGCGTGCCCTAGCTTATGACAAATCCCTGGAGGCGAGTCCAAAAGTCACGTTATCGAATAAGGTCTATTGCCAGCAAACAATGTAGCCTATTGATCTCTGCATCAAGGTAGCCAATCTGCAAATTGAAAAAAACCCGGTATTTTACTACTCCCTGCTCCAAACTACATGTATAGTAGCTGTTGACCTGCCCTATGAATGTATGATGCGTGCATTTCCCTGTGTGTAGATCCACAAGTAAAACTGTTACTTGTATGGACATGGAGTATAACGAACGGTACATACACAGTCATGGGTGTAAGACATCACTCAGACTAGTAGGTACTGTAGTAGGAAGTTATGCTGAGATTGCGGACCCTACTAACTCCGTCGCAGCGCGAACAACATCAACCAAAAAAAGAATGTAGAAGAGCTCGTACCGTATGTACGCACCTTTAAAGCCATGGGGGGTATATTCGATTATAAAGTCAGTCTCAGTTATAAAGCCACAGGCTTCATAAATATTTAATAATAATAATAATAATAATAAATGAAAATTAATGACATTTGAAGTATATTTTGGAAAAATGAAGGAATAAATACTATGCTAACAGCCCAGGCCAGCAGGAAGGGTGAACAAGTAGATTTATATTGAAATTTCTGTGTGGACTTTGACTTTTATGGCATGGCGTAGTGGGTGAGTCATTTTGCATCTAAAATAACAGGTTCTTTATAATTATGCACTCTTGATACAAGCCAATGCCTTGCGCCTGCATTGCCCTGCAATGGCGCTACGATATTGATCAAGGGTTCCCTGTGGATTTAGTTTTGCTCGAATGTCAAGTCCGCTACAAATTTTACAACGGAGCCGAAATCTACCCTCATGCACACGAGCTGCACGCCAAATATGGTTAAGAGTGCTTCTGGTAATGCCTATCGGTCGAGAGCATAGAGAAATAACATACCGTCGGTCAGTGTCGTGCAATGTTTTCGCACGAGCTGATTGTTTAGTAACTGGTGGTGTTAGTGGACAATGGCGTAACTTGGAGTTCCTTGGTCGTTCTTTTTTGTATAAATTATTATTATTTGAAACTCGGATGTTGAGCCATAAATAAATGTAAAATAGAAAAGGACATATGGATACGAGTTTAGAGTAACTCTCCATCACTGTAACATGATACTATATACAGTCAGAAAGTGCAATAACTAGGCACAAAACTGACAGAGTACTGAGACATTCGACGTCCTGACACCTAACTTTAACACATCTCCGTAGCGCTAACCGACAGCCTTCCAACTTGGAAGGTTCAAGGTTATGGAAAAGACCAAAGAGGGGAAGGCAAGCGCAACGAAAACGAGCAAAAGCTACAGTCCCAACGGAACAAAGAATGTCGATTGTTACTGGACGATGACGAGACCAGTACGATATTTGACAAAGCGGTCTAACTACAATTCGAAGCAGCAAAGCAGCACACCACCCAACTTGGGTGGGTCATAAATATCAAAGATAAGTAAAGAAAGGGAAGCTTTGCGAAAACGAATTGTACAAGCCGAAAGCCAAACTCCTACAGTACTCCTCATGCATGACATTGTGATGGACTAGTTGACTACAAAACAAGTTGTTTCACACGACGTACGTTTCGCCGTATGGTTCGTGACGGCTCATCAGGTGTGCAATTTGAAACTCGGATGTTGAGCCATAAATAAATGTAAAATAGAAAAGGACATATGGATACGAGTTTAGAGTAACTCTCCATCACTGTAACATGATACTATATACAGTCAGAAAGTGCAATAACTAGGCACAAAACTGACAGAGTACTGAGACATTCGACGTCCTGACACCTAACTTTAACACATCTCCGTAGCGCTAACCGACAGCCTTCCAACTTGGAAGGTTCAAGGTTATGGAAAAGACCAAAGAGGGGAAGGCAAGCGCAACGAAAACGAGCAAAAGCTACAGTCCCAACGGAACAAAGAATGTCGATTGTTACTGGACGATGACGAGACCAGTACGATATTTGACAAAGCGGTCTAACTACAATTCGAAGCAGCAAAGCAGCACACCACCCAACTTGGGTGGGTCATAAATATCAAAGATAAGTAAAGAAAGGGAAGCTTTGCGAAAACGAATTGTACAAGCCGAAAGCCAAACTCCTACAGTACTCCTCATGCATGACATTGTGATGGACTAGTTGACTACAAAACAAGTTGTTTCACACGACGTACGTTTCGCCGTATGGTTCGTGACGGCTCATCAGGTGTGCAATTTGAAACTCGGATGTTGAGCCATAAATAAATGTAAAATAGAAAAGGACATATGGATACGAGTTTAGAGTAACTCTCCATCACTGTAACATGATACTATATACAGTCAGAAAGTGCAATAACTAGGCACAAAACTGACAGAGTACTGAGACATTCGACGTCCTGACACCTAACTTTAACACATCTCCGTAGCGCTAACCGACAGCCTTCCAACTTGGAAGGTTCAAGGTTATGGAAAAGACCAAAGAGGGGAAGGCAAGCGCAACGAAAACGAGCAAAAGCTACAGTCCCAACGGAACAAAGAATGTCGATTGTTACTGGACGATGACGAGACCAGTACGATATTTGACAAAGCGGTCTAACTACAATTCGAAGCAGCAAAGCAGCACACCACCCAACTTGGGTGGGTCATAAATATCAAAGATAAGTAAAGAAAGGGAAGCTTTGCGAAAACGAATTGGACAAGCCGAAAGCCAAACTCCTACAGTACTCCTCATGCATGACATTGTGATGGACTAGTTGACTACAAAACAAGTTGTTTCACACGACGTACGTTTCGCCGTATGGTTCGTGACGGCTCATCAGGTGTGCAATTTGAAACTCGGATGTTGAGCCATAAATAAATGTAAAATAGAAAAGGACATATGGATACGAGTTTAGAGTAACTCTCCATCACTGTAACATGATACTATATACAGTCAGAAAGTGCAATAACTAGGCACAAAACTGACAGAGTACTGAGACATTCGACGTCCTGACACCTAACTTTAACACATCTCCGTAGCGCTAACCGACAGCCTTCCAACTTGGAAGGTTCAAGGTTATGGAAAAGACCAAAGAGGGGAAGGCAAGCGCAACGAAAACGAGCAAAAGCTACAGTCCCAACGGAACAAAGAATGTCGATTGTTACTGGACGATGACGAGACCAGTACGATATTTGACAAAGCGGTCTAACTACAATTCGAAGCAGCAAAGCAGCACACCACCCAACTTGGGTGGGTCATAAATATCAAAGATAAGTAAAGAAAGGGAAGCTTTGCGAAAACGAATTGTACAAGCCGAAAGCCAAACTCCTACAGTACTCCTCATGCATGACATTGTGATGGACTAGTTGACTACAATATGTATATAGTATCATGTTACAGTGATGGAGAGTTACTCTAAACTCGTATCCATATGTCCTTTTCTATTTTACATTTATTTATGGCTCAACATCCGAGTTTCAAATTGCACACCTGATGAGCCGTCACGAACCATACGGCGAAACGTACGTCGTGTGAAACAACTTGTTTTGTAGTCAACTAGTCCATCACAATGTCATGCATGAGGAGTACTGTAGGAGTTTGGCTTTCGGCTTGTACAATTCGTTTTCGCAAAGCTTCCCTTTCTTTACTTATCTTTGATATTTATGACCCACCCAAGTTGGGTGGTGTGCTGCTTTGCTGCTTCGAATTGTAGTTAGACCGCTTTGTCAAATATCGTACTGGTCTCGTCATCGTCCAGTAACAATCGACATTCTTTGTTCCGTTGGGACTGTAGCTTTTGCTCGTTTTCGTTGCGCTTGCCTTCCCCTCTTTGGTCTTTTCCATAACCTTGAACCTTCCAAGTTGGAAGGCTGTCGGTTAGCGCTACGGAGATGTGTTAAAGTTAGGTGTCAGGACGTCGAATGTCTCAGTACTCTGTCAGTTTTGTGCCTAGTTATTGCACTTTCTGACTGTATATAGTATCATGTTACAGTGATGGAGAGTTACTCTAAACTCGTATCCATATGTCCTTTTCTATTTTACATTTATTTATGGCTCAACATCCGAGTTTCAAATTGCACACCTGATGAGCCGTCACGAACCATACGGCGAAACGTACGTCGTGTGAAACAACTTGTTTTGTAGTCAACTAGTCCATCACAATGTCATGCA